CTGTTCAGCCTGGAGAAGAGGAGGCTGAGGGGGGACCTGAGCAGCGTGTATAAATACCTCAAGGGAGGCAGTGAGGAGGAGGGGGGCGGCCTCTTTTCACTGGTGGACAGTGACAGGACTAGAGGAAAGGACCACGAACTGAAGCACCAAAAGGAATTTAAGGAATTTAAGCACAGGAATTTAAGGAAAAATGTCTTAATAGTGACAGAGCACTGAAACAGGCTTCCAAGAGAGGTTGTGGAGTCTCCTTCTCTGGAGATCTTCAAAACCCACTTGGACACAACCCTGTGCCAGGTGACCCTGTGTGTGCAGGGGGTTGGGCTAGACGATCTTTAAAGGTCCCTTCCAACCTTAAGGATTCTATGATTTGGTCCAAGACTCGACTCTGGGTTTAATGATTTCTTCCTTTCCTTCATCACACAGGTCCCAGGAACAGCATTTTTAATACCCCAGTTCAGTTTCCTGTTCAAGACCTAGACACAGAGGAAGATGTATCCAAACCTCCTCCATACATCAGAATGGCTTGAAAAAGTGATGAGCACCTGAAAGCAACATATCTCAAAGCCTCGCAAGACAGCTGTGAGAAGTTCTTTGTTTTTAAAGATGGTTATGCACTTTGCCTTTTAATAAAACTTGCACAGAAAGAGAACACCCATGATGCCCAATGTTCAGCAAAGACCACAGTGTGGAAGGAAAGATGTGATGCTATTTTTGTACTATTTAGACCTGTAGAGTTAAAAATACCTCATTGCCTCTGAGAAGCATGAGCTTACTGTCTCTATGTTTTGTGTTTCATTTGTGTTTTATTCCAGTAAAAGTCATCCTGTGGTTTGTCTAGCAGTACTAGCCTTACACATTCAATATTAAATGCGCTTATTTTTAAAAAGAAAATGGTTGTGTAACATTCTCCTCCTCCTCAATTACATTCTTAATTTCTGATTAATTATCACAGAGGACCCACTTCGCTAGTCAGCACCAGTGTCCCCATTCCTATGGCGGGGAGGGGGCAGGAAACCTTTCTGATGTGAAGTCTTGCCCATGCCATTCGGACACCTCTGTCAACACATGGATTCAGCGGTGTGCAAGGGCTTAGGTCTACCTAGTTTTAGTGACAAAGTGTAATTTTAGAATAAAGTAAGAACTTAATTTGCAATAGCTCCCTTTACAGATAAATTAGATACTCTGAATTCAAGTGGAGGTTTTGTTTTGTTTTGTTTTTTTTTAAGCTTATTTTTAGAGGCCCATTCTGCCAAACCAGTTTTAGCCCAGGGGCTTTACACTCTGATCCTGATCATGGGCAAACTTTCCCCTGACTTCCCCTGACTTCTGAACTGCTCAGATACCTCTCGTGCCCTTGCACCTCACTTCGAGGTTGGTTCTGTGCTCCCAAGAGCCCAGAGATATACTCCTAGGAGACACTTCTCCCACAGATGGGATGAGATGGACATAATAGGACACGTGAGCTTGGGCAGGACTTGGAAGGTGAATCCTCATCCTGGGAAAGATGTCGCCTGCTCTAACTGGCAGGGTAACGAGCTCTGCTATCAGGTGTGCAACTCCTGGAATGATCTTGGATAAAGATTACCCAAGGATCATGGCAAAGGTGCCCTTGCCCTTCCTAAGAGGAGCCAGAAATAATAGTACTTGAAATCCATTTTTCTAGACAATAAAGGCTTTTTTCAGAGTGCAAGTAAAGAGGCCCAGACACCTGAATTGAATCCCTGCCTTCCTCTTTGCAGGCTAGGTGCCCATCCGTCCTCTCTGTCAGGGTTTATCACATACACACTTAGAAAGCTGTTGGTTCCAACACAGTTGGCTGTAGTGAAGCCATCAGGAGGCACGTTGCTACATCCAGCTAACATGACCACATAGGCTGGTATCTGCAGGTTAGCACATCCTGACCATCTAATTTTAAAGCTTCCCCATTCTCTTGGAGTTGGCCAGGAGCCGCAGGGAACAGTCGCCTGCTATTAAATTGGTTGTAAGCTCCCTGAGCTGTGCAGGAGCTGCCCTGGAGAACGTGCCGTGCCAGGAAGCAGCTCCGCTTCCAGCGGCCCTAGCAGGCCTAAGCTGAACCAAACTGCCTATGCACGGAGCTCTCTGCTTACCTGCCCTGCAACTGTCACACCAAAGCTGGCTGCTACAGAGCTGACAGAAAAAAAGGGTTTTGCCCAGTGTTTTCAGTCTGTATATGCCTAGCATTTTTTCCCTTACGTTTCTTTGAGAAAGAGGAAAAGCATTTAATTAAGAAAAGCAAAAAAATGCAGCACTCTGAATGGTAATGACTGGTAATTAGCCAATTAAAATCCACTTTTACCTTGACCCTGACTACAGGTGATTGATTCTTTACATCATGTGCCTTTAAGGCAGTTACTCACAACACTGTAAAGGCAAAAAATGGTGCTGTGCCTTTTTCTATGGCATAGTACCTGACAGCAGACATCAAAGCACGAAGCTTTACTGTCAAGTGCTAACAAAATTCAACAGTGTTCAAAATACCTTAACAAAATAATTAGATATTACGCAAATATGCAAAGAGTAGCCTTCAATAGCAAACTTGCTCTAACACAGGCATATTTTCATTAGTCGGAGGAGCTAACTCCTGAGATGAGGAGCTAGTAATGCGGTTAGGGAAATCGGCACCTGAGCTGCACAACGGATGCACACGGAGCTGATATGGAAATCAAACTCTGCTGAGAGGGCTCTCACATAAAGCCAAGGTGCTCAGCTACCTGACAAGCCCAGCAGACCTCTGACAGTGTCAAACTCACTCCATTGACTATGACACATGCATTTTGGTATGTACCGAAGTATCAGCATATAAAAGAGATGTATGCTCTATGCTGTTCTTAAGTAAAAAACCTATGTAATTTGTTCAGCAGCAGCTATAAAATCCTTGGAAATATCCGTATTTCTTTTCCAATCTGCCTTTGCAGTCCTTCCAGGGGTGCAATTGCAAAACTGCTATCACAACACTGGCCTGAGCACACCTCAAATCACTTAAATGATCACAGTTCCCACAGCCCTTTCTACTAAAGGAGTCTCTACTGAAGGAAACAGCTGCAATACTGAAACTGGTGGACCCTCTATTTAATGTCACTGCCTCTAGTGGGTTAGTAGGGCAAAAAAAAAAAACGTATGCAGGATTGCTGGTGCCGGTGCTATGTATAGCAGTCTGCACGACACGCTAGTTATGGCTCTCAGAGCGCATCAGCATCTCCAGAGACATCCCACATCTTGCCTCAGCCCAAGCTTTCTCTGCTGGAAACCACACGGATTATTTTTTTAAATACTATTAATTACAAGCACACGCAGCCACCATCCCTCAAGCAGCAATGCCCTTGGCACTTGTTCTCGCAGACCTTTCTGGGAAGCAGCCAGCTTCCTCATTCCTTCCTGCCATGGAAAGCCAGCACCAGCCTGCAACATTTCCCTTCGGTCTCGGCCAAGGGAGGGGAAACAGGGACTGCTAGGCTACAGGTGCCGTGGCCAAGGCTGGTGTAGCAGCTGGTGCACCCTGACCTGGTGCCTGCTGAGCAATGCGAGCAAGGGCAGGGGGAAGTGGGGAAGGGAAAACGCTCCCAGGTCCTACCCCATTCCCAGCTCATCCTGCACATGCAGGCGCTTCGCCTCAGTCACAAGCACAGCTCATTCCCACCTCAGAAATGAGTGTTAAAGGGAATGATACACGCAAATGTGCCTCAGATCTCATGGAGACCAAGCATTTTGGTGTCTAGCTCCACTAGCTAGACTACTAGCTAGTAGGAATACTAGCTAGTAGCTAGAATATTAGCTAGGGAGTATTATAATGCCTTTTCTCTGCTCAGTTAACCCCAGGAGCCTGTACGCTATGCATGAGCATCTCACCTGTGTTCTGAGCGAGAGTGTACATACAGCTCTGTTATGCTCCTGCAAATTATAATTTGGTGGTTACCAAGCATTTCACACTGCTGTATGTTAGCATTGTTTGTACTGGAAGAAAAAAAAGACATTTAAGTTTACTTATATTTTCTTTTTGAGGGTAATCTTGGTAAAATATTACCTTATCCGCTGACATGCGGAGCAAATAGAACTCCCTGGGCTGTAAACCAAAGGATGCCAGGGACCTCCATGCCACCGTTAGTGCCGCGTGGTTACGGCACGCAATAGTTAATGGCAGAGGCCCAACCCAGCGGCTGATCAGGGAAGCTGTTTCTGTGGGTTAACATTCAACCAAGGGCGAGGCGTCTGCTCGGCCGCTTCCCCGCAGCAATGCCTGCAGGGTGCTGCCGGGCCAGGCTGCCGCCTTGGTTCCATTTGATAACATGCTTTTCTTCCTGTTTGCTTGTGTTTGTAACTGCATGCCCAGCTCTGCACCCCACTGATGTTGCAACAGCAGTTGATAGCAGTGATTTACCCCGGCCTCATTCAGTAATGGGGTTCCTGGCTGCCCTGCCCGCTCTCTGCTCACAGCACGGGGCAGCCTCGCAGCTCCGGGTGCCTGGCGGGGTGTGAAGAGCATGTGGCATGTCGGTTTTTAGGAGCAAGTCAGTACAAAGAGATGAACACTTACGCCACATGTTGTGGGAAGTGACTCCTATAATGCCTAGTTCCTGCTCATTAGGGAAAGCCATCTATGCCATTTACTACACAAAGGTTCTTCTTGCATGAAGTTCCCTGGCTTACAGCTTCCTTTCTGCAGTAGCCTGTCACACACGCAAAATTAATGCTGGCTGCTAGGTGGGAGGCACCACGGAAGGGAGCCTTAAACACGCTGGGACAGCCCAGCAGAGGCACTGATCAAAATAAAGGTATGCTCAAAAACTGGAAGTGCCTGCACTTGAAAGGAGGAAGGTTTTATTTTTAGCATGTAAATGTGGGGGTTGGCACTTAGGATTAACTTTTACTTGTGGAGGAAAAGCCTATTAAAGCAAATACCATTTCCTACTCCTCCTCAGCAGGTTTTCTGTAAAGAAATCAATTGCTTTACCCCACACCTCCTCAGGTCAGTCCAATTGAAACACCACCATACACCAATAAACCATATAGTTTCACTTGCACTGTGCTTAGTACCTTTGTGAGCTGTGCAGCACGCTCTTCGTTTGCAACTACAGCGTAGGTTCTATCAGAAACATGCAGATTTACTTGAATTGAGCGGTACTTGCTCATGTACATGTTGCTTTAGTATTAAAAAAAAAAGGCTTAAGTCTCACTGCTGCCAATTTATAAGTGGGTTAAAAAAATAGCTTGAAGTAAATGGCAAAGCTGCTGTATATATTTCAGGGTAAGCTAAATCTACTTTCTCTTTCATTTTTTGCCCTTCCTGGCATGCAGGCACGCATGCACATACACACAAAGCATTGGGCAGGCTGTACACTAGCAGTGCTGCAGTGCTATACAGTGAGACAGGGAGAGCAGAGTGACTAAAAGCATCTCCAGCTTGCACTAAAAACGACAGCCCTGACCCAAATAGGTTACTTGCCCACAAGAGAGAAAAAAAGCACGCTTCAACCATGGCCTCTGCTTTACTATGGGTGATTCACATGTGCAGTACAGTTTCTTTATAAAGTAAAGAATAAAAACAGTCATTAAGACGGGGTTTAGCTTATTTTCCCAAGGTTTTTGCAGCCCGTGACCTTCTCAAAGGGAATATGCAAACAGTAAAAGAAACAAGGTCGTATGATCTCAGGTCACTGTCTTACGACCGTTGTTTCCACAGAATGGTTGAGGTTGGAAGAGACCGCTAGAGATCACCTAGTTCAACCTGCCCTGCTCCAGCAGGAACACCCCCAGCACGGGGCACAGGGCGGCATCCAGGC